CCCGCTCGTCGCCACCGACGACGGCCAGATCGCCTACCTCGACATGGCCGCCAAGCTCGACCAGACCGCCGACTTCATCTGCGGCCCCAAGTGGGCCATCGCCCGTGACCCTTCCATCGTCATGGGCATCGCCGCCGGTGCTTCCGGCAACAAGGGCGAGGACCGCGGCCCGCCCATGTACTGGCCCGCCCCCTTCGGCCGTGATCTGACCAAGGAGGAGGCCTACATCGCCAAGCTCGACGCCGGTACCGGTGCCTCGCTCAAGCTCACCGTGCTCAACGCCACGGGCCGCATCTGGACCATGGTCGCCGGTGGTGGTGCCTCGGTCGTCTACTCGGACGCCATCGCCGCCCACGGCTACGCCCACGAGCTCGCCAACTACGGCGAGTACTCGGGTGCTCCCTCCGAGGGCCAGACCTTCGAGTATGCCAAGACGCTACTCGACCTCATGACCCGCGGCGAGGTCAACCCCCAGGGCAAGCTCCTCATCATCGGCGGTGGTATCGCCAACTTCACCAACGTCGCCTCCACCTTCAAGGGCATCATCCGCGCCCTCAAGGAGTACAAGCTCTCGCTCGCCAAGCACGGCGTCCGCATCTTTGTCCGCCGTGGTGGTCCCAACTACCAGGAGGGTCTCAAGGCCATGCGCCTCCTCGGTGAGGACCTCGGTGTCGAGATCCAGGTCTTCGGCCCCGAGACTCACATTACCGACATTGTGCCCCTTGCTCTCGGTGTCAAGACCTTCGAGGAGGTCACCCTCGCCTCGCAGCAGCAGAACGCCCTCCCCTCGGGCGCCCAGACCCCCGTCCACGGCGGCGCCAACGGCACCAAGGCCGAGGACAAGGCCATCGGCACCGTCGACCACGCCACCGGCGAGCGTGTCCAGCCCCAGGACCAGATCGTCCACTTTGGCGCTGGTGCCGCCGGCGAGCGCCCTGCCTACCGTCCCTTCGACGCCAACACCCGCTCGCTCGTCTTTGGTCTGCAGCCCCGTGCCATCCAGGGCATGCTCGACTTTGACTTCTCTTGCGGTCGTCAGACCCCCTCGGTCGCTGCCATGATCTACCCCTTCGGCGGCCACCACATCCAGAAGTTCTACTGGGGCACCAAGGAGACGCTCCTTCCCGTCTACACCAGCATCAAGGAGGCCGTCGCCAAGCACCCCGATGCCGACGTGGTCGTCAACTTTGCCTCGAGCCGATCCGTCTACTCGTCGACGCTCGAGGTGCTCGACTGCCCCCAGATCCGCGCTCTTGCGCTCATCGCCGAGGGTGTGCCCGAGCGCCACGCCCGTGAGATCCTCCACCGTGCCGAGAAGGCCGGTGTGCTCATCATCGGCCCCGCCACCGTCGGTGGTATCAAGCCCGGCTGCTTCCGTATCGGCAACTCGGGTGGTATGATGGACAACATCCTGTCGTCCAAGCTTTACCGCCCCGGTTCGGTCGGCTACGTCTCCAAGTCCGGCGGTATGTCGAACGAGCTGAACAACATCCTCTCGATCACCACCAACGGCACCTACGAGGGTATCGCCATCGGCGGTGACCGTTACCCCGGCACCACCTTCATCGACCACCTGCTCCGCTACGAGCAGGACCCCGAGTGCAAGATGCTCGTCCTCCTCGGCGAGGTCGGTGGTATCGAGGAGTACCGTGTCATTGACGCCGTCAAGAAGGGCATCATCAAGAAGCCCATCGTGGCCTGGGCCATCGGCACGTGCGCCAAGATGTTCACCACCGAGGTGCAGTTCGGCCACGCCGGTTCCATGGCCAACAGCGACATGGAGACCGCCTCGGCCAAGAACGCCGCCATGAAGGCTGCCGGCTTCATCGTGCCCGAGACCTTCGAGGACCTGCCCCAGGTGATCCGCGAGGTGTACAACAAGCTGGTCGCCCAGGGTGTCGTTGTGCCCAAGCCCGAGCGCCCCGCCCCCGCCATCCCCGTCGACTACAAGTGGGCGCAGGAGCTCGGCATGGTGCGTAAGCCCGCCGCCTTCATCTCGACCATCTCGGACGAGCGTGGATCGGAGCTCATGTACTCGGGTGTCAAGATCTCGGAGGTGTTCGAGTCGGGTATGGGCATCGGCGGTGTCATCTCGCTGCTGTGGTTCAAGCGCCGCCTGCCGGACTACTGCACCAAGTTCATCGAGATGGCGCTCATGCTCACCGCCGACCACGGCCCGGCCGTGTCGGGTGCGATGAACACCATCATCACGTCGCGTGCCGGCAAGGACCTCATCTCGTCGCTCGTGTCGGGTCTGCTCACCATCGGTGACCGCTTCGGTGGTGCGCTGGACGACGCTGCCACCGAGTTCTCGAACGCCTTCGACCGCGGCATGACCGCACGAGAGTTTGTGGACAGCATGCGCAAGGGCAACAAGCTCATCCCCGGTATCGGCCACAAGATCAAGTCGGTGTCGAACCCCGACTACCGTGTGCAGGTGGTCAAGGAGTTTGTGCTCAAGAACTTCCCTTCGCACAAGATGCTCGACTACGCACTCGCCGTCGAGAAGGTGACGACGGCCAAGAAGGACACGCTGATCCTCAACGTCGACGGCTGTCTCGCCGTGTGCTTCGTCGACCTGCTGCGCGACTCGGGTGCCTTCACGATCGAGGAGGCGCGCGACTACCTCAGCTACGGCTTCCTCAACGGCATCTTCACGCTCGGTCGCTCGATCGGCTTCATCGGCCACCACATTGACCAGAAGCGCCTCAAGGCCGGTCTCTACCGCCACCCTGCGGACGACTTCCACATCGAGATGGCCACGCCCGCACGTGTCATGGGCACTCTCAAGAAGTAAGCAGGTGGCAGCGGCCGCCGTCGATGTCGCAGCAGTAGCAGCAGCAGCATACAGGTTCTCGTGGGTTCTCGCTTTCTTTCCGTTTCTCCGTTTCGTCTCTCTGTGTACAATCCTTTTCCTCGTTTATGGCTCGCTGATGCGGCGTCGTATGGTCGGGAGGTCGATGCTGTCGGCTCGGCTGGTAAGGCTAGTCAGCCTGGCTCGGCAGCGTGGCACCGCTCCGATGTGGACCCGACCGATGCAATTCAGTCTCATTGCGCTTTCATCTTGTTGGCGGCGACTGTGGAAGGAGTGTGTGTAAATTTAGAGCAGTGGGGCTGAGCGTGAGGTCATGTGTAGAACCAGGGGCAGGTCTTTTCACGCGGGCCAGGGAGCGCGCGCATGGCGCAGCAGGGGCAGTTGGCGGCGATAAGCGTGCTTGTGAGTGTGGAGGTGCGTGTCATGCGTGGATGCGCAGCCAACACGCAAAGAAAAAGAGAAAGCTCGAGCCCCTGAAAGCTTGGCTTGGACGTGGGGGCATACGGGTTAGCCGCTGACTTCCATCCGCTTTGATCTCTGGCACTCGTGCTTCGTCTGGCGATTCTTCGAAACAATGGCGACGACTACGGCAGTCACCGCAGTGAGCGAGGCTACGGCTGTGATGTAAGTTCGCCCAACTCCCGTCTGCGCATCGTTGGTACATGGCATGCTGAACACGTTGTGGTGGTGCTTAGTTTGGGAGCAACTGGAGCCGTTGGAACGCCTCTTCTGGGGCAGCTGGTGAGCGACTCGTCGCCCTACACCCGCGTAGTCTCATTCGCGCGACGCGAGCATCCGGCACCGCCATCCTCGAGCAAGGTCAAGTTCGAAGAGGTGGTGGTGGACTTTGAAAAGCTGTTCCAGAAGGATGCCTCTGAACAAGCCAAGTTTGCCGGAGTCAAAGCTGATGCCGTGTTCATCACCATGGGAACTACACGTGCTGCAGCCGGATCGGGCGCCGCATTCGAAAAGATCGATCGAGGCTACGTTCTTGCTGCAGCCAAAGCACTGCACGACCCCAAGCACCCGGCTACGATGGTCTACTGCTCGAGTGGGCAGGCAAGTAGTGCATCTCGATTCCCCTACCTCAAAAGCAAAGGTTTGACCGAAGAAGGTCTGGCAAGCATGTATGCAAAGACGATCATCATGCGTCCTGGATTCCTGCAAAACGCCCAGAGAAAGGAATCGAGGGTGTTTGAGAAACTCTCGCAGCCTTTCTTCAACCTCGGCGCAAAGATCTCGGACAGCCTCCAGGCGGATGTCAAGGACGTTGCTGCTGCCATGATCAAAGCGGCTCAACTTGGACCCGAGAAGCTAAACGACCAGGTTCTCGCCACGCCGCTCCCAAACAACTTTCGCCTCGAACCAGAGGCCGCGGGACACCAAATCGCCATCGTCCTCAACAACCATATCCTCCAACTCACCCGCCCCGCACAGTCTTCCTGAACCTCCCGTTGCTCGATTCCTGAATCCCCTCGCCCTTATACCGCTCCGGCTATGCCTGTAGTCTGAAATTTGAAATGCTTTGTCTATCAAAGGCTGGGGGGTGGGGTCTATGCAAAAGTGACGCCGGCGAGTTGCCAGATGGCGGCGGTGTCGGGCGTCGAGGGATCGCGTTGGCGCTGCTGGCTCACCGTAAAGCGCGCCAGGGCCAGCTCGTCCTCTTTGAGATGGGCGCCGGCATCGCGCAGCAGCTTGGCCGTCGCTGCATGGCCGTGCTGACACGCCAGAAACAGCGGCGAGTGACCGGATGTCGTCTCCCTCGCGTGGACGCTGCAGCCTGCCTGGAGCAGCAGCTCGACGACGCCGGTGAAGCCCTTGGCACTGGCGACGTGCAGCGGCTGCAGCTTCTCGATGGGCGTCGTCGCCTCCGGATTCGCCACGCTCTCGCCCACAATGTGGCTCGTCGCGGCAGCTTCGCCCGATGCACCGCCGGATGCCGCTGGATGCAACGTGGACGGGTGGAAATGCTCCTCGTCGATCGAGATGGTCGGAACCGTCTCGAGCTGCGCCAGCGCGTAGATGTGCCACTGCAGCAGCGCCACGTCGTTCTTGGAGGCGGCCTCGTAGATGAGCCATGGCAGCACCGCCATCGCGGCTGCAGACACCTCGTGTTCGGAGCTGTCCCACGCAGCGGCGCGCACGTCCCTGGATGTGGTCTCGACTCCAGACCGAGACTTGTCGGGCGAGGGCGCCGAGGCCGCCACCTGCGTCTTGGACGGGTTCTGGAGGATGTGCGCGAGCAGCGTGCGCACGTCGGCCTTGATCGGCTTAGCTGCGGGTGTGAGCTCTTGCGGTAGCGCCTGCGCCGCACCGCCACGGCTCGACGTGAGCTCACCGCGCAGCGGCCTGCCCATCAACTCGCGGATCTCGGCAGGCTCCAGCCCCTTGGCGAGCAGATACGACAGCTTGGCGAGCGCACACTCGGGCGTCATGTCTCCGCCAGCCACGACGCCAACCGCCTCGAGCTTCTTGCCCACCGCATAGATCGCCGACACCTCGCCCTGGACGCACTGGGTGATGTTGACGATGACGAGGCCGCGGTCCGAGGCCTGCTTGAAGACCTCGAGCAGGTCCGGGCGCGAGGGTGCATTGCCTGCGCCGTACGACTCGAGGATGACGCCCTCGAGCGGTGGCGAGAGGAAGCTCTTGACGGTGCTGGTGGGGAGGCCGGGGAAGAGGCGGAGCACGGCGACGTTGGGCGACATGCGGTCGTGGGCGCGGAAGCTCTTGACGCTGCGCGAGCGCTCGACGAGGTTCCAGGCGACCTCGATGTTGATGCCGACGCGCGCGAGCGGGGCCATGTTGGGCGAGTCGAAGGCGGCGAGCGCATTGTTGCTCACCTTGCTCGTGCGGTTGCCGCGGTAGAGCGTCGAGGCAAAGTAGAGCCCCACCTCGGGGATGATGTACGAGCCGGCGAGCATGAGTGCGCCGAGCACGTTTTCGATGGCGTCGTTGCGCAGCTCCGACAGCGGCACCTGCGCGCCCGTGACGATGACCGACTTGCCCAGGTTCTCGAGCAGCATGCTCAGCGCCGACGCCGTGTAGGCCATGGTGTCGGTGCCGTGCAGCACGATGAACGCGTCAAAGTTCTGGTAGTTGAGCGAGATGTCCGAGGCGAGGCGGATCCAGTCCGGGATGTCCATCTCGGACGAGTCTAGCAGCGGGTCGTACTCGAGCACGGCGTAGCGCACGCGCTTGCTGTGCGCGCCGCCGCGCGGCGTGATGAGCGTGGGCAGCTGCAGCTCGAGGTGCTCGCCGTCGGCCGAGACAGATGACGAGAGCGCATGGTGGGTCGAGGTGCCCTTGGGTGCCGAGGAGCGGACGAGCACGGGGTGACCAAAGGGTGGCGCACCCGCAGAGGCAGCGCCGGAAGGCGAGCGCGACGCCGAGTCGGCGAAGAGGTGATCGAGATGCGCCTGGGTGGAGGGCGTGAGGGGTGCCGTGTCGTGGTCGCTCTTGCGCTTCTTGGAAGGCTGGGCGCCGTTGACGTCGAGCAGGCTGGTGTTAGCCGACTTGTCTGCCACTGCCTTTGCGAGCGTGGACTCGGATGGGAGCGCGGTGGTGTCCTTGGCATGCAGCGGTGTCGAGGCGCCGGAGCCTGGACGCGTGTAGGCCTCGCTCCACGCCTTGTAGCGGTCGACGGAATCGGACCATGAGAAGATGGAGTCGCCATGCGGATCGTGGAAGCGCGACTGGCTGCGCAGCGTCTCTGTGAGGAAGGAGGGATACGGAGCAAAGCCGGACGATGCGTCCTTTCGCACCATTCCGATCGTGCCGCCTGCGTAGAGGCACAGCACCAGCGCCTCGTCCGATGTCGACATGCTTGTATAGTAGTCGTCGGCACACGTCCGAAGCAGGGTATGTCACAGAGCCGGCGACCTGTGGTGATGGCAGAGAGATGGGAACAGATGGACAGAGGGCAGGAGCGAGTCGGCTTCATCCACACTTTGGCTTCAGAGGGCGAAGCCTGAGAAGAAGCCCACTCAATAATCACGCTCGGCCCACCCGCCAATTTTTCTCTCCGACTCGTTCGGAAGTGGGGTCATCTGACAGCTCCACCCCTTGGCTGCCGTTTCGGAATCTTCCGAATCCACACGAAGGCAGTCCTCTCGATCTCGATCTCATCTCGGCGCCTCGTCGGCACTGCTCTCCCTTGGCTCTCGGCTGATCCACCGGAATGATGATGACTCAAGCTGTATCGCAGGGGATGCAGCAGAAGAGCGTCGGCCTCCAGAGGCAGCGAATCTGCTCTACGGTCCCTGCCGCCGAAGCGATGGACCCTGACCGTGGACCTGCAAGGCCGGTGAATTCGAGCGCGAGTCTAACATGCTCGCGCGGCGCGACCCAATTTGTTTCAGCAAGTCGACTCGACAGCGGTTCCTTTTTGCGACGCGAACGCGCCTGTCGCGCTCCTACTCAACGCCAAACCCACAAGCGCGCAGCATGAGGCGCAGCAGCGCTTGCAGAACGCGTCGTCCAACTCTGCTGCAGGCGAGCGAAAGAGAGGTGTTGGTTTGGCCCAAAATTCGAGGCCAGACAAGATTGCTTTCGGCCTTCGCCTCATGCTCGAGCTCCACCGCCAAACAGAGCGCAGTGCAAGCTAGCCTGCCTCATAGCTTCCTCGTAGCTTCCTGATCAGCAACATCATCTCCATAGACAATCTCCTTATCCGCTTCTCCAGATAAAGCGCATCACTCCCACCCTCCAGCATCGTTTCTGCAGCCAAGGACCCTCCTCATCTCTTACTCTTGCCAGTCTCCATCGTCCAGCATCTTCTGCATCATCGTCAACAGCATCTGCCTGTCTGCTTCATACCCATCCATGCTATCCATCTAACCCGTCTCTCTACTAGAAAGTACACCTAGAAGCTCGTACATAGCCTCGGCTCGAGCGCTACCTTCGCCCTAGAGGATCCTCGCCCAGCGCACTCTCATCGTCACCTCGGACGACACACATACACATACACAGCGGCCGTCATGCCCAGCACATTCGGCCTCACAAGTCGCGGTTCCAACGTCCGCTCTCGCGGCACGTTCCGAAAGCGCGGCGGAGGACCACGATCCGGCTCCTTCAAGAGCGCCACCGAAAAGGCCATCGCCGATGCCGCCGCACAGCTCGTCAAAGGCGTCGAGGACGGCACCGCCGTCGAGGAGCGCTTCCAGGAGGTCAAGGTACGCGACGACATCGACGAGAAGCTCGGATTTCACCGCCTCGAGCAGGGCGAAACCCGCCAGGCATGGCTCGTCAACATGCACCCCACGCTCATCCGCGACCCCGATCATCCCACAGGCAAGAGCGGCGTCGACTTTTACTTTATCGAGGACGACGCAAGCATGTTCAAAGCAACCGTCCTCTATCAGCCATACTTTCTCGTCGGCTGTCGACCAAACTCCGAAAGCTCCGTAGAGGAATGGCTCAGGCGAAGGTTCGAAGGCCTCATCCAGTCCATCCAGCGCGAGCGCAAGGAAGACCTCAAGCTTCCCAACCACCTCATGGGACACAAGCGACTCTACCTCCGCCTCACCTTCCTCAACGTCCAAGATCTGCTCTCCGTGCGCAAGGAGCTTCTCCCGCTCGCAAAGGCAGCCCAGAAGAAGCTCTCCGCCGTCGACACCTACGCCGACGTGCTCAGCGCCGCTTCGGCAGCAGCCGCTGGCGCATCCATCGAGATCGAGATGGACGCCAACGGCGAATCCAGCGGCCTCATCGGCGAAGACGGCTGGACCGGCGGTCGAAAGAGAGCAGCAGCCAGCGCGCTCGATCCCGCAGAGTGCCTCGTCGACATCCGCGAGTACGACATCCCCTACTATCTCCGCGTCGCCATCGACCAGGACATCCGCGTGGGTCTCTGGTACGACGTCAGCTTCAAGGACGGCGTCGTCAGCCTCGACATGGTCCCCAGCCGTGTCAAGCGTGCCGACCCCGTCGTCATGGCCTTCGACATTGAGACCACAAAGCAGCCGCTCAAGTTCCCCGACGCAGAGACCGACGCCATCATGATGATCTCTTACATGATCGACGGTCAGGGTTTCCTCATCACCAATCGCGAAATCGTCTCCGAAGACATCGAGGACTTCGAATATACCCCCAAGGACGAGTACGAGGGCCCCTTTATCATCTTCAACGAGCCCGACGAGCTCGCGCTCCTCCAGCGATTCTTCAGCCACTTCCGCGAGGCCAGCCCCACCGTCGTCGCCACGTACAACGGCGACTCGTTCGACTTTCCCTTCATCGATGCACGTGCTCGCGCTCACGCCATCAACATGATGGACGAGATCGGCTTTGCCAAGGACTCGGACAACGAGTACAAGTCGCGCGCATGCTCCCATCTCGACTGCTTCCGCTGGGTGCAGCGCGACTCGTACCTCCCGCAGGGTTCTCAGGGCCTCAAGGCCGTCACTGTCGCCAAGCTCGGCTACGATCCCATGGAGCTCGACCCCGAGCTCATGACGCCCTACGCCATCGAACAGCCCCAGACGCTCGCACAATACTCGGTCTCCGACGCCGTCGCCACCTACTACCTCTACATGAAGTACGTGCATCCCTTTATCTTTTCGCTCTGCAACATCATCCCTCTCAATCCCGACGAGGTGCTGCGCAAGGGTTCCGGTACGCTGTGCGAGACGCTCCTCATGGTGCAGGCTTACAAAGGCAACATCGTCATGCCCAACCGTCACGAGGATCCCGTAGGCAACACCTACAGGGGTCACCTGCTCGAGTCCGAGACCTACGTCGGCGGCCACGTCGAAGCACTAGAGGCCGGTGTCTTCCGCTCCGACATCGAGACCGACTTCCGCGTCGACCCAGCCGCCATCCAGCAGCTCATCGACGACCTCGATGCAGCGCTCCAGTTCAGCATCCGCGAAGAGGGCAAGCTGGCGCTCGACGACATCGAAAACTACGAAGAGGTCAAGGCCGAGATCCGCACCATGCTCGAGGTGATGCGCGACGACCCCAACCGCAAGGATTGTCCGCTCATCTACCATCTCGACGTCGCTGCCATGTATCCCAACATCATGCTCAGCTACCGGCTCCAGCCGGACTCGATGGTCAGCGAGGCCATGTGCGCCACCTGCGACTACAACCGCCCGGGCATGAAGTGCGACAAGCGCATGGACTGGGCCTGGCGAGGCGAGTACTTCCCCGCCAAGCGCGACGAGGTCAACATGATCCGCAACGCCTTGGCCAGCGAGACCTTCCCGCCCAGGTTCCCCAACCAGCCTCGACGCACGTTTGAAGACCTCGAGGTGAGCGAACGCACGGCGCTGCTGCACAAGCGACTTGGCGACTACTCGCGCAAGGTGTACCGCAAAACGCACGAGACCAAGACGGTCATCCGCGAAGCAGTCATCTGCCAGCGTGAGAATCCGTTCTACATCAACACCGTGCGCGACTTTCGTGACCGTCGCTACGAGTACAAGGGCCTGCACAAGACGTGGAAGAAGAACCTCGACAAGGCCGACTCGCTCAACGACACCATGGAGGCCAAGAAGATGATCGTTCTCTACGACTCGCTCCAGCTGGCCCACAAGTGTATTCTCAACTCCTTTTACGGCTACGTGATGCGCAAGGGCGCACGATGGTACTCGATGGAGATGGCCGGCATCACCTGCCTCACGGGTGCCTCGATCATCCAGATGGCCAAGGAGCTCGTGGAGCGCATCGGACGTCCGCTCGAGCTCGACACGGACGGTATCTGGTGCATGCTTCCCGGCGTCTTTCCGGAGAACTTCAACTTCAAGGTCAAGGGCGGCAAGAAGTTCGGCATCTCGTACCCGTGCACCATGCTCAACCACCTCGTGCACGAAAAGTTCACCAATCACCAGTACCACGAGCTCGTTGACAAGAAGACCGGCCGGTACGAGGTGCGCAGCGAGAACTCGATCTTCTTCGAGCTCGATGGTCCGTACAAGGCCATGATCCTGCCGTCGTCCAAGGAGGAGGACAAGCTGCTCAAGAAGCGCTATGCCGTCTTCAACGAGGACGGCTCGCTCGCCGAGCTCAAGGGCTTCGAGGTCAAGCGTCGTGGCGAGCTGCAGCTCATCAAGGACTTCCAGAAGCAGATTTTCGAAAAGTTCCTGCTGGGCACGACGCTCGACGAGTGCTACGCGGCGGTCGCCAAGGTCGCCAACCAGTGGCTCGACGTGCTGTACAGCAAGGGTTCGACGCTGCACGACGAGGAGCTCATCGACCTCATTGCCGAGAACAAGTCCATGTCCAAAACGTTGCAGGAGTACGGCAGCCAGAAGTCGACAGCCATCACCACGGCAAAGCGTCTGGCAGAGTTCCTCGGTGCGCAGATGATCAAGGACAAGGGCCTCGCGTGTAAGTTCATCATCAGCGCCAAGCCCTTTGGAGCGCCCGTCACGGAGCGTGCGGTACCGGTGGCGCTCTTCAACGCAGAGCCCTCGGTCAAGCAGCACTACCTCAAGAAGTTCCTGCGCGACAACTCGATCACCGATTTCGACATCCGCAACATCCTCGACTGGAATTACTACATCGAGCGCTTTGGCGGTGTCATCCAGAAGCTCATCACGATCCCAGCGGCGATGCAGAAAGTGTCGAACCCGGTGCCGCGTGTCCGACACCCGGACTGGCTGCACAAGCGTGTCGCAGCGCGCGAGGACAAGTTCAAGCAGCGGAAGCTCACCGACGTCTTCCGTCCCGCTGCCAAGCCGTCCGCAATCGAAGCGAGCTCGGCCTCCAAGCCAGCCGCCGCTGCTGAGCCGCCCAAGGAGGTCGAGCCGGAGATCGAGGAGATCGCTCCGGACATGAACGTCGACTACCCCGGCTGGGTTGCGGTGATGAAGAAGAAATGGCGAAAACAGCGCTTGCAGAGAGCCAAGGAGCGCAAGGCGAGGGCGGCAGGCGCGAGTGTGTTCGGGTCGTCTTCGCTAGGCAAGGGGACCGTTGGATCGCTCTTCTCGCAGCGTTCTGCGAACATGGCAACGGCCGTGTGGGACGTGGTTCAGATCTGCCCGTCGTCGCGGCCCGGCGAGTACCGCATGTGGATCTCGATCGACCAGCACCTGCAGGCGCTCAAGCTCAAGGTGCCGCGCCAGTTCTACGTCAACTTCAAGAGCAACCCGGGCAACGAAGTGTTTTTGCCGGGTGTGTACGAGGCGGAGCGACTCGTCAAGACGCTGCCGCGCGACGCGCCGTGCCGCCACCTCTACCGCATCACCGTCGACGAGGACGTCTACCAGGAGCAGGAGGCACACTTTAGCAACCTCATCCACCATCCCAACGTCGAGGGTGTGTACGAAAAGCAGCTGCCGCTGGATGTGCGTGCGCTGATCCAGCTCGGATCCAGCTGCGTCTACGGGCGCAACGGCCCGTCGCAGAAGCTGAGCCGTGCACTGGATATGGGCTTCCGCCTGCAGGATCTGTCGCCGCCCACCTCGGTCGACATCTCGCCCAGCCACAGCTACCTCTCGGGCGGTGCAGGTATCCGGTACTTCTATCTGTACCACGCCCACCGCGATGGGCGCCACGTGCTCAGTGTCTTCAGCCCCGAGGGCGACGTCAAGGTGCACATCGTCGACAGCGCCGGGCTGCGCCAGGTGCCCAACCTGGAGACCATGTATGCGGACCGCGTCGCGCACATGCGCAAGCGCGGCACGCTCGCCGAGGTCAAGGGTGTCTTTGAGTACAGCGACACGATGCGCGTGGATGTGCGCATCCACACGTCGGCCTCGCGCGCGTTCAAGGCGCTCGCCAAGGACCTGACTACGCTGCGCACGGCCAAGCAGGGCTCGGCACTGCTCGCCATGTGCACGTCCAAGGACCAGACGTACTACGAGACGCACGTACCCAGCGTCGCCGAGTTTCCCATCATCAAGATCGCCGCGGCGGCGCTCGAGGACGAGCTGCCCGCGCTCGGATGGCAGCTGTATTCGGCTCGCCGCATGTTCCAGTGCTACCTGCGCGCGGCGAGCTGGGTGCGCGGATGGATCGATCTGGCAGGCCACTTTGACCTGCCGCTCTGCAACCTGGAAAAGGACTTTACGATCTTTGGCGCCGACATCGACTTTGCACGCAGGCTGGTCAAGCAGGACATGGTGCTGTGGTGGTCGCCGCATTCGCAGCCGGATCTGGGCGGACGCGAGCAGGATATCCACGCGCAGTCCAGGTGGGACGAGCAGGAGTCGCTCGAGCTCAGCCATCCGGGCGCGTATGCGACCGTGTGTCTCGAGGTTGGACTGGTGGATCTGGCGGTGGATGCGGTGCTCCAGTCTGGAACGGTCAACGACATGGAGGGCAGCTCTTCTGGCGTCGCGTTCGAGGGCGCGTCGCACAACCTCGACGAGTACTCGCGCGGCACCGTCGAGAGCTCGACGATTCTGGGCGACTCGGTGCTCACGTCGGCGGTGTTCTCAGCAGTCAAGGGCATGGTCAAGGCGTGGTTCATGACCAAGAGGCGCGGCCGGTCGCAGTTCTCCTCGCTGCTGTCGGACAACTTTTGGCGCTGGGCGTCGTCGGACGCATCGGCCATGTTCGAGCCCGCGCTGCAGCGCTTCCTGTTTGGGCTCATGAAGAAGACGCTGCTGCAGCTGCTGGCCGAGTTCAAGCGGTTGGGCGCGAGCATCGTGTACGCGTCGTTCAACCGGCTTTTCTTGCTGACGACCAAGCCGAGTGCAGCGAATGCCATGGCGTACTCGCGCTACCTGCTCTCGGCGGTGACGAGCCGCGAGCTGTTCAAGCACGTCCAGCTCGACATCATCCACTACTGGGAGTACCTGCTGTGGATGGACACGGCCAACTTTGGCGGTGTGATTGCGGATGTCGACTCGCTCGTCGCGCCGACCGAGGAGGCCGAGGCCGAGGCAGCGCGAACGACCAAGTCGGGCATGCCGACGTTCAACGTGGAGATGAACTGGAACATCCAGACGTTCCTGCCGCTGGCGGTGCAGGACAAGTTCTCGATCGCGGTGGGATCGTTCATCTTTAGCATGTACGAGCACAAGCAGCAGGCGGCGGTGGCGGGCGACTTGGACCGCACGCCTCTGCGCGCTGTGGCGGAGCCCAACACGCCGGCGAACGGCGAGGCGTCCAAGGACGATGCGGAAGATGGAGGCAAGGATCGCGACGAGGTGGTGGGATCGGCGGCGGCGGCGGTGGCCAAGTTCAGCACGGATCTGATCAACCACACGATGACGAGGAAGATGCTCAAGCAGCTGGCGTCGCTCAAGACGGCGATGCAGACGTCGTCGGACGAGATCAATGCGGCGGTGGCGCGCGACGAGGACGAGGAGTATGTCGACATGCTTACGGCCGAGCACAAGCGCGCGTGGGCGTTCCCCGTGCTGCCGGGCTCGTGGCTGGCCATGTCGAATCCGTTGCTCGAGTTTATCAAGACGACGACGGCGGTGCTGGCGCTGTCGCGCGAGAATGCGATCGAGGTGCAGATCCTCAAGCGCAATCTGCTCGACATGATCAACGTGCGCGAGTTTGCGCCCGAGGCCGAATTCCGCAATCCATGCGAGCCGTTCAAGCTGCCGCTCGTCATCTGCGCCTTCTGCAACGACGACCGCACGCTGGACTTGTGCCGAGATCCCGACCTGATGCCCAACCCGAACGCGGTGGCGCAGACGCCCAAGTGGAAGTGCGCCAAATGCGCGTTTCCCTACAGCGTCGCGCAGCTCGAGATGAGGCTGGTCAACATTGCAACGAGCTATCTCGAGTCGTTCCATCTGCAGGATCTGCGCTGCAACAAGTGCGGGGCGCTCAAGTCGACGAATCTGCAGCCGCACTGCGAGTGCTCGGGCAGCTTTGGATTGATGGTGACGCGCAAGGAGACGCTCAAGAAGCTGCGCTCGCTGCATACGATTGCGGGCTTCCACTCGCTGCACACCGTGCAGGCGGCGGTCGACCACATCATCGCCATGGTCTAAGATGTCTTTGCTAGCATTTGCAACGTTTAGAATTTAACCATTGTGATACGAGAGAAGCCTACTTTACAGCTGGTGTGGGACGGAGACGAGAGCCTGAAGATACGTGTGGAAGTTGGAGAGCAGTTCTTGCGAAAGGATGGGCTTGCAAGGAGACGCAGGACGATTGAGCGCGGCGGTGACAGTCAAGCATTCGTTGGGAGACAAATCCGACAGCGACGTAGTGGTGGCTGAGAAATGTGCTTGGGCGGGTTTAGATGCCGCCACCGCTTCGTTCAGGGCAGACCATGCGGCCACCGGCGGTCCTGCTTGCGACGGAAGCGCTCCTGCGCGCCGAGATGACCGAGATGGAGGCGACGACAAACGCGGCCGACGCAGCAAACAGCGTGCGCTGACGGGTCAAGATGGACTGCATACCGAATGTACCGTGTGGAGCGGCTTGTCTATGAGCAGCGATGTCCTCTTATAAAAGTCTCGCTGTTGCGCACTGCGTGTTCGTTATTAACTTTGGCTTCACCGCGGTACCGGAGGATTGATGGTGGGACGGAGGAAACCACTACTGTGAGTGGCCTCGTAGATAAGCACGAGTGGCTGGTCCGTGGGCCGTGTCCGGTCTAGGCGGTGGCGGTAGGAGCCGGAAAGCTGCAACACGTCAGCGCGCCCAAATGCTGCGCCCTCCCAACAAAAAGGGCAGCCGAAAATGCGGGGTAAGCAGCGACAAAGCCGCACGACGCCTCGGCCCAAGCCGTGGATGTGTGGAGAAGAGGCAGCCAGGCAGGGTCGTGTGAGCTCGAGGTGGCTCAGCTTTGACCCCAGCGACCCATTCGTACGAAATCCATTTTCGAGGCCAAGGCATCGATCGGGGTAGATCGTTCGGATCGGGTCACAAGGAAGTTGCCAAAGGCCCCGGGGCGAGTTTGTGGGAGATTCGAATTTTTGGATCTACACGAGATGACCGTCTTTCGGCTTCATCCGATCCGTCAATGGATGCGCAGCTTGCCGTTGACCATGACACTGGGTCGCATTGGATGGCGAGGAGATGAGAAGGGTGATCTTCCACCACATCGTGGCATCCCCTGGATCACAAAAGGGTCCGCTGTGCGTGTGGGGAACAGAGGAGCCCAGGTTTAGCCGCGACCGAGCGGGGCCCAACTTCGGTCAAGCGTCGGACGACCGCCCTTTGGGAAATCTCTCTGCCTCCGAGGCCGACATCACGGAGCCAAGCTAGAACCAGGCTGCCGCAAGACGCAGGGACCATTGCTGACCGCTCGGACATGTGACACACAGGCACTCGCCGACCGACGGCTGACACCATCTTTGACCGCGCCCGTGGATCGACGACCGCTGCCTGTGCATCTGAGACCTTCTACTGATGCTGTAAGATCGGCAAGCCCGGCGTTGGTCGGCACTGCCGTCGCATTCCCTCCACTGCATGACTACATGACTAGGCTTGAATCTCTCCGAAGCGTGGCATTGCGTGGTGCTGTGATGTTTGGCCGGAATTCGCCGGTGTGGCTCCAAGCTGCAGGCGGCAAGGCCCTTGCGCTGCACTCTCACCCCCGCCGCGACGGATGCAGTCTTGGCGGTGCGTGCAGAGTGGCAATCCTCACGGAGGGGCGACATGCGGAACAGCCAAACGCTGATTGGATCGAGACGGCCCCTTCCGCGGCCCTCGCGTGTGGGCGAGAGCTGGCCGGCCCACGGTTCGAAATCTTGGAGACTGGCAGGCGAGGGCGGTATCGATTTTGCTGATCAGCCGCGGAAGACGGGCTGAAATCGACGTTCGGGTCCCCGCCTGTCAAACTTGCGCACCCTGAGCGAACGCCGTTGCTCCCGCAGCAGCATCCTTCGCACGCGACATATGAGTGTCTCACACTAACCCTCGTTGCACCTGATGAATCCCATCGATTAGAGCTGTGGCAGTTGCCACTCAATACCGCATCGACAATGCGTTGCCGACATTGTTTCTCCAAAACAGACGAGAAGGAAAGGAGAGGCACAGGAATTCGAATTCCTGCGAAAGAGCAATCCAGTCCTGGCTGCTACACCCAGCAGCGAAGAGTGCGGGGAGCAGATCACAGCGACCGCCGAGAGCCAGACTCCTAAATTGGCACAAGGGCAAGGCAAAATCCGTCGGTCATGAGCTGCAGGTCGCCGCGCCTTGGAGATCGACCGAGGAGATTCTACATTTTCTCCCCCCCCCCCCCCCCCCCCCC